TTGTGGTCGACAAGGAAACAAACATATGATGATAATACATCGTCATGTTTTTTTTCTAGAGGGGAACTTTCCGAACGATGTTATTTGCTTAACAATTCCAATGTGATTTCACGCAATGTGCGCAGCGCGTTTCATTGGATATAACGCGACATTAATTTTGGTGTCCCGCCCCGAGGGGAATCGTTCGCGCCCACGAGGGTACGAATTATTGTTGACAGCCACGCGCAGGGAGGCGCTGAGGGGAAAAGGAGGGTGGGCGGAATGCAGGAGGAAGGGGAGGAGGAGGCGGGCAAATAAAAAAAGCGGGGTGGGAGGAGCGGAGGGGGGAGGGGGGGTGGTGGTGGCGTTTGGCTGGCGAGGGCAAGTTTTTTTTACCTCCCGCTGTGTTTCGGCTGTTGCCCCCACCCCCGCTGGCTGTTTCAGCCGGTTGGAAAAGGATTGATGGCCCACCCCCGCTGGCTGTTATGTTTCGGCTGTTACCCCCACCCCCGCTGGCTGTTTCGGCTGGCTGTTTCGGCTGTTACCCCCACCCCCGCTGGCTGTTTCGGATGTTACCCCCGCCCCCAAATTTTGGTTTTGAAGGATAGGATTTGGTGCACCTCATTCCACCATCCTTCTCATCCTTCTTGCACCTTACCCCCCCACCTCCTGGCGGGCAGGACTCCCTCGCATTCCTCCATCCTTCTCATCTTCATCCTCCTCCTCATCCCCCTCCTCCCTCTTCCTCCTCCGATTCTTCCTCCTCCTCCTCCTCCTCCTCCTCTGTCGTCCTCCTGTGTGTACTCTTCCTCCCCCTTGTCCTCCTCCGTCTCGCCCAATCCGCTTCCTCGCCCGCCCCTCCCTGCATTTGAATTGCCAGGCTTCCCCCCTACTCCACTGCGGGTTGCTTCGGCCTTGGAGTTTCGAGATTTTGTGTTTCTGGCCTTCGGAATGGGGGCCTCCTCGTCGCCGCGGCTGGACGCCGCCCGAAAAATTGTCATATCATCCCATGGGGCCTCCTCGTCGTCGCCGCGGCTGGACGCGCCCCAGGGGGGGGGGAGAGAGGAAGGCAACAAGAAGAGGGGGGCATGCATGTTGCACCGTAACAACAGCCGCTTTGGCTTTGTAGGTGGCGCGCCCACCCCCCAGCAGCAGCCAGCGGCCGGCTCGGCCGCCCGCCGCCGCCCGCCGCTGCAGCGGCGACATGCCCGCGCTGGGCATCGACGCGGGCGGCGTCGCGTCCGGGGAGGGCGATAACGGCAGGGGGGGCGCTTGGAAGGTTCTGGCTGGGTGGGCAAGCGCATGGCGCGCCCTGAGAGGGCGCCGTGGCGGCTTGGACTGGAGGTGGCGCTCAGCCCGCCGCCAGATTCGCCGCGGCGCCCCCTCGGGGCGCGTCGATCGAGCCTGCGCCACCCCGCAAAGGCGACGACATCTATCAGGCAGTGGATGCCGGGTTCTGGCCTATTGCAGCGCTGTGCGCGGCTGAGTTCGGCCTGGATGATGTCCACTTCATCAGTCGGACGAATCGTGGCGCGTGGCATTCTTGGCATCGTCGTTTGGGCCAGGCGGAGGCTTGGGTCGCGAGGCTGATCAGGAGCACAGGTCTGCTGGAGATGGGGCTCGATGAGAACAACGTCCACTTGACCTGTAACAAGAGCGGCGCTGGTGGGAAAGGCCCGAAGTGCGAGGATGATGGCGTTGTGTTGACCCACACGATCGACAATACAATGACCTCGAGTGCTTGTGGAGCGTCCTCCACGAGGGTGGCCAGGCGCAGTGCGACTCCATCAATGAACATGGCGCCGTCATCCAGTACACGGGCGTCCGGCCTGTCGGGAATAGGTGGGACCCCGACGACGACGACGTCCTGGTCCGCATCGGCAGTTGGCGCGAGGTGGTTGGCGCATTAAAATTATTAGTATGAGACTCAGAGGGGGCGCCAGGGTAGATATAATATGCGTTTGGTACGTCGTCTGTCGCCGTCGTTGTCGAGGGCCCCCTTTTTTGGGGAGCCCCTTCCCCACTGAGGCTCGCAACTAATAATAACAATGCGCTAGCCCATAGATGGCGGACTACTTCCGCCTGCCGAACATGGGCGCATGGGACCAGCTGGCGCAGCTCGGGCCGCCCTCCCGCCCCGCGCCGACAGGCAGGACGGCAATGGAGTTGATCGAGCAGTGCCGGCGCCGCTCCTCCAGGGCGCGCCGTCGCCCCCCGATGGAGGAGCTCGACGACGACGGCCCTCAGCAGGACAGTGGTGATGATGATGATGATCATCGCCGCGGCGGCCGTGGCAGCCGCCGCGGCCGTGGCAGGGCTGGGGGCTCGGCCGCCGCCGCCGCCGCCCACGCGTCGTCGCTGGCGCAGTCGACGCCGGCGTCGCAGCTGCTGGTGGCCAAGCCTCCTTCGCCGAGGGCGCCGTCGACGCCGCCGCCGACCCACCTCCTCAAGAAGGCATCGGGGGCGCCGCCCAGGGGGTCGGCTGGGGCCGGCGCGGCGCCGGCGACGCCGCCGCGGGCGCCGGTGACGCCGCCGCCGGCGGCGGCGCCTGGCCCCTACGCGGCCTTCAAGGGCGCGCCGCCAGCCGCCCCGCCGACGAAGGGAGCAGGGCGCCCGTCGGCGGCTGCGGCCGCAGCAGCGCCGGCCGCCGCAGCAGCGCCGGCAGCAGCAGCGCCGGCAGCGTCGTCGACGGAGGAGCTCCAGCACCAGGTTTCGATGCTACAGGCGACCGTGGACACCCTGCTCTCCTTGCACCAGAACACCAACGCGATGAATGCCTCTGTGGCGGCGTTGGCCGCTGCTGCAGCTGCTGCTGCTGCGCCCGCGGCTGTTTCGGCCGATGCTGCTGCTGCGCCCGCGGCTGGTTCGGCCGCGGGGGGCGCGGCGGCGGCGCCTCCTGCGCAGGTCGAATGGGCCGGCTGGCAGTCTGCGTCTCACCGCTCGGCGGCTTGGCACTCTAAGAAGTTGGCTCGGGCCCAGAAGCACGCCGCTGGCGCGAGGCCCGCGGGGGTCCGCACGGCGCCTCAGCCGGCCATGTGCGCCATATGCCACCGCGACCAGCCTGGCGCATATTGCGTTCGGATGGCGTGCAGGGCGCGTTGCCGGAGGGTGCAGGAGACGGATGCGGCGGCCACCTTTTGCGAGCAGCACAGCGCTTGAAACGAGCGTTGATGCGTGCATGCGCAACGCCCCCGAGTTTTTTTTGCGATCTGTATGCCCTTCGTCGTCGTCATCAACAACATGGCGACGACTGCGCGGTCGCCGCCAACTGGGGTGCGCTCTTCCTTCGCTTGCATAAGCGCGAAATGTATAATCGCGGAAGTTGCGAGCGACGCCGCGACGAGCGACGCTCGACCTGTGAAAAAAATCATCATTGTCATTCATCATCATCATCAGAGGGCGGAGGGCGGAGGAGGAGGAGGAGGAGGAGGATGGAGGGCAATGGGAGGGATGAGGAGGCGAGTGGGGCGAGAGGAGGAGGAGGAGGAGGAGGAGGCAGAATAAGAAGAAGTGCAGGAGGAGGAGTGCTGGCACCCAGTGCCTCTTGGCCGAAACAGCCTCATTCCCATCGTCTCCTCTGGATCCGTGGGTGGAAGAAGAAGAAGGAGGACGATTAGACTTGAATGGGAGATGGTGGGTGGAAAACGAATGATGAGGAGAAGGAGGTAGCGATGCATGACGAATGAGCTTTCTTCTTCACCCCGCATGCAGGCAGCGGCGGCGGGCTCGTTCGTCGTCGCCGAGAGTTGGGGGCCATAGCCTCCGGGGGCCCCCGCGACGGGCGGAGGTCCGCGCGAACTCCATGCCGCAGATGGGGTCGAGAGCCTCCGGGGACCTCCAGGAGCGGAGGCCCGCGCGAATTCCACACCACAGGGTCGAGAGCCTCCGGAGGCCTCCAGGGGCGGAGGTCCGCGCGAAATCCACGCCGCAGATGGGGTCGAGAGCCGCGTCAGCTGCGCCTCCAAGAGAGCTGTCTGAGTTCTTGGATACCTCGGGATGCCTGGGCCACGTCGGATTCGCTTCTGGAACCCTTCCAGGACAGGTGGCCCGATCGGGCCATGCAGAACTTCCCTGCTCGGTCTGCTGGTCTGCTCGGCTGACGTGGCCGAGGGCCGGGCCGGCTGCATCGGCTAGGGGGGCTTGATTGTTGTTTCGGCAAGCTCTTGTCGTCGTCGCACTCGTCGTGTCACCGCTGACCCTCCTCGCAGCCTGCGCCTTCTTCTTTCGTGATCGTCGTCGTCGTCGGCACTGCTGCTGCGACCCCCCTGCCCGCTACCCTCCTGCCCGCGGCTCGCCTCCTCCTCCGCCTCCGCCGCCTCCTCCATTTCATCTCCGTAACCTTTTTGGCTGAGTGTGTACCGACGCGGGCTGTTGCGGCCCTTCGGAACGACGAACATAAAAACGCGCGGGCTGTTGCGGCCATTCGACTTGCAGTGGGAGTTGCCATGGCCCCTAAGAAGCAGTCGCAGAAGCGGGAATCCACGGGCAAGGCTGGATCGGCCCCCCCTCCGATGAAGAGGCCAAGGTCATGGGCTGGATCGGCGCCGTCTACCCCAGGGGGAGGAGATGATGACTTCGACAATGCGCAGCCGGCTGCATCGGCCAATAATTGCGTGGGCCCCGTGCTGGACATCATCACCGAGGCTTTGAACACCATCAAGACGTCGCCAATCTTGGCCGACCTCGAGAAAACAACGCCGCTGACCATCGCCGACGGCGGCCGCCAGGCGCCGTTCACCAAGCAGGACTGCCTTGATGCCCTCAGCCGCGGAAGCAACTACACTTGCGGGAGCAACCTGTTTTGGCAGAACTTCTTCTGGAGCGCCACTTACAAAACCCCTGTGAACATGGGGCAGGTCAAAGAGATCCGCAGATTCCACATGTCCCCGATGAGCCCGCCAGAGGTCTCCCCCATGACCACCGTCTTCGCGGTGGACAACCCGGCCATGGACGTCACCATGCACCTTGGCAGTTTGCAGCGCCTCTCGCCAATCGAGCCGCAACTGGCCTTGCTCATGGGCATGGCCGACGCGGTGAAGAAGGAGGCGGAGGACAGCGCGCTGTCGGCGCCAGTGACGTTCGAGGTGCAGGCGGAAGGCGACACTCGGCATTGGCGCGCCCATAACATTCGGCAGGAGTGGATCGAGACAGGGGATACAGCCCAACTCAGCGCGAGGCTATGGGTGTACGACATCGTCGGTTTTAAGGAGGCGAAGGAGAAGGATATTGGTAAGACGCTGGGTAGCAAGGAGCTCAGCCAGCTCTACGAGAAGCACATGAAGTACGCGAAGTCTACAGTCCACGTGAAACCGACCTTCGTGGATAACGCGATCACCGTCCACAAGCGGCTGTTGTCCCTGGAAGACTCCAACAAGTGCCTTGTCTGGGCGGACGAGAACTTGATGACCGATTCCCCGTGGGCGAGCCTCTACGCGACGCAGGCTGTGGTCGAGCGCGCGTCGACTCCCAACAAGATCGATTGGGCGATGATGGGCCTCACGGACCATTACCGCATGGCGCCCAAGGGTTTGTTCTGAACACCCTCGCTGCTCGCGCCAACCCGTCGTCGACGCGTCGTCGGCGGGTCGGCGCGAATCAGCGTTGGGGAGGAGTCAGAACCACCAGGAGTTCATTGACTTAGGCAAGTTCGGCGTCAACAAGCTCAGGGACTACAGGGAGAGCTACGTCGAGGTCTTGAACTCGAAGCTCGACGCGAAGAACGAGATGCTGTTCAAATGGCTTCCGCGCGTTGGCATCCCACGCGATCGCGTCACAAACATGCAGCAGAAGATGGGTACCTTCGCCGCGGCGCGGGCGTGCGTCACTGGCTACCTGGGGGATGCAGTCGATACCACGTGGCAAGCTCTGATGAAGCAGTCGGCTGTTTCGGCTGTCACGCTCATCGAGGAGTTGGTGTACACCATCGAGTTCGACAGGCGCTACAACAATGCCATCCAGTCGAAGCTCGACGTGGCGGACTTTCTCGCCTACGAGTCGGTCGCCATGCGCATGAACGAAGTCATCGAGATGGCGAAGAGGGAGAACGGGACTTATGGCGCCGAGGCGGCTGGAGCGGCCGGAGCGGCCGCCTCCTCTGCCGGGGCTGCCGCCGCAGACCCGGGCAGCAACAGCATGACCTCAGCGGGCGACACGCCCAAGGAGTTGAAGAAGTTCGCCCAGTTGCAAGAGACGGACAAGCAGAATTGGAACAGGGTAATTGACAAGGTCGCTCGGACTTACATTCAGATCGTGCCCGACCAGAAAACGCAGGCTGAGCTGGAGAACGTGCTCCGGGACTCCGCGCTCGCCACCATCAAGGGTGACCCCACGGGGCTGGTGCTGTACCACTTCGACGCGAAGCAGTTCGGCGAGCCGCAAACCAGGCCTGAGCTGCGCATTGCGCCCCTCAGGGAGAAGCCGCACGAGCGTCTCGCGCGTTCGATGTTGAACGCAAGGGCGCCCCAGGGGCAGCCGAGCCATCTCCGCAATGGGGGGGTCGCAGTGATTCTGGACGGCGGGCGGAGGGGCAATGCGTCCAAGCTGCTCGCGCCGTGGAAGGAGAACACCGTCGAGAAGAAGGAGGCTAAGGGGCGCGGCCGCGGCGGCGATGAGGTGATTGAGGCCGACGACGACGATCAGGACGGCGACGACGACAGCGACAACGAGCCGGCTTCAAAGCTTCGATCATCCAGCTCGCGTACGCGGAGGACAGCCTGAAAGCGCGCCGCAACAGGGTGCACGGAGGCACAGGGAGCCTGCACCAGATAGAGTGGGCGCACATGGTGGCACACGCGCGCATTTCGATCCCTGAGCGGCGCCGCAAGTACTTCGAGGGCAGCGCGGCAGGGGATCTGATTACTGGCATCGAGGTCCCAGAGCTTGGCAAAGAATGGCACGCGCTGTGGAAGGACAAGAAACTTATGTACGGAAGGAAAAATCTGATTGCCGTGGGTGGCAAAACAGAAGGCATTGAGCCGCTCCAGGAGCGGAAGACCGACGAGACCATGATCCCCGTGAATTTCCACGGCATGCCGGTGGTCTACTACAAAGAGCTGATCCACATGTTCTATGTTAAATGCGTGCTGGATCTGACCCCGACCGATGCGAAATTCGCGTGGGCTTGTCTCCAGGAGAGGATCGCATACGTCGGGGTGGCATTCACGAAGGAGCACATGGAGAAGATCTTCTCCTACCTGACGGACCTCGTGAAGCAGGCGATGGCGGATGCCGGGTCCAAGCTGTTCAACAAGGACTACGCGACATCTCTCGGCATGGAGGCGTCCAGCTCCGGCGGCGGCGGAGGTGGCTCCGGCGGCGGCGGAGGTGGTGGCGGCCGCGGTGGTGGAGGCCGCGGCCGTGGCGGCCGTGGCCGTGGCGGCCGTGGCCGCGGTGGCCGCGGCGCCGCGGGGACGACGGATGATGACGGGGCTGCGGCGGCGGCGGGCGGGGGTGGCGACTCAGGAGGCGCTGGCGGCGGCGGGGGCGGCGGAGAAGATGGCCAGGGCGGCGGCGGCAGCGGGGGCGGCGGTGATGACGGTGTCGACCTGCCCAACGGCGACGAGGAGCTCCGGGGCCCTTTGGGTGAGCAGCGACAGCCAGCTGAGGTGCAGTCGACCTGCGAGGTCGACGAAACGTGCGATGAGCAGCTGCTGTTCCCGCATTAGTCATCGGCCGAACCAGATGTCCTTGTTCAGAACCCCCTCCCCCGCAAACGAGTGTATTGTTTACCAGAGCTTTATTGTTGGGCCGATGACAGTTTTGTTAGCTGCGTGCGTTGCGTTCGTTGTTGTAGGATAATTCCGTTGACAGCGGTTTCTGGCAGCATTCGAATGCATTTAACATCGCTGGTTCGGCGGGCACACCGCCAGGCTGGCTGTTTCGGCTAGCACGCGCCGCTCTCAAAAAATACATCGTCATCATCCTGCCATCGCATCCCATCATCATCATGGCTTCCGCCGTCCGCCCTGGCCCACTCCTGCCTCCCTCTCGATTCGGCTTTGGATGCGATTGGACTTGGACTCAGCGCTGGGATTGCAACTATAGCATCTAGAAGAGAAGAAGACGGGATAGCAGTGAAAGTGCATCTGCGAAACACGCTGACGCGGTAAGTGCGGTCTGCCGCGCAATTCGCCGACGGCAGCGAGCTGCGGTAGCTGCGGTAGGAGAGGCCTGCTACAACAACACCGCAGCTCACTGCCGACAGCGAGCTGCGGTAGGAGCTCCCTGTCGCGCATTTCGCCGACGGCAGCGAGCTGCGGTAGGTTAGGGGTGGCAGCTCACTGTCGACACCGAGCGGCGATAGGAGAGGTCTGCCGCACCACCGCCGCAGCTCACTGCCGACAGCGAGCTGCGGTAGGAGCTCCCTGTCGCGCATTTCGCCGACGGCAGCGAGCTGCGGCAAGTTAGTTAGGGGTGGGCACCGCCGGCGCAGCTCACTGCCGACAGCGAGCTGCGGTAGGAGTCTTCTGGCGCACCACCGCAGCTCACTGCCGACAGCGAGCTGCGGTAGGAGCTCCGTGTCGGGCGTTTCGCCGACGGCAGCGGCGAGCTGCGGTGGCTGCCGACAGCGAGCGAGCTGCGGTAGGAGTCTTCTGGCGCACCACCGCAGCTCACTGCCGACAGCGAGCTGCGGTAGGAGTCTTCTGGCGCACCGCCGCAGGTCTCGCAGCAATCTTGGCCCACATGGCCACCGCAGCTCACTGACGACAGTGAGCTGCGTTAAGAGATGACTGTTAGCCATCTCCCACCGAAGCTCCCGTCGGCGCGCGGCAGAAGTCTCCTACCGCAGCTCGCTGTCGTCAGTGAGCTGCGGTGGTGCGCCAGAAGACTCCTACCGCATCTCGCTGTCGGCAGTGAGCTGCGCCGGCGGTGCCACCGCAGCTCGCTGCCGTCGGCGAAACGCCCGACAGGGAGCTCCTACCGCAGCTCGCTGTCGGCAGTGAGCTGCGGTGGTGCGCCAGAGGACTCCTACCGCAGCTCGCTGTCGGCAGTGAGCTGCGCCGGCGGTGCCACCGCAGCTCGCTGCCGTCGGCGAAACGCCCGACAGGGAGCTCCTACCGCAGCTCGCTGTCGGCAGTGAGCTGCGGTGGTCTGGCAGACCTCTCCTACCGCAGCTCGCTGACGGCAGGGAGCTGCGGTGTTGCGGCAGACCTCTCCTCCCGCAGCTCGCTGTCGGCAGTGAGCCGCGGCGGCGGTGCCGACCCCTAACCTACCGCAGCTCGCCGCTGGCAGCGAACCACCACTTATACCTTCATCATTACCGCAGCTCGCTGTCAGCCTGGCCCATCCTAGAATGCAGCATCGATGACCCCACCAGCCCATCCAGAAACGATGCGTAAGAAAGAGGTGCTCGGAGGTTGTTGTCTCTTAGAGCCATCTTGGGGCTATCTTGGGGTCCTCTTCTTGCTTGGGGCCATCGTAGGGCCCTTCTTCTCTTGGGGTTCCTCTGGGGCAATACTGGGGCCTTCGTTTGACCCCTTAGGCGGGTCTGGTCTCATGGGCGTCTGGGGCCCCACGATTCAACATGCCTCCTTCTCCTCCTGCTCCTCCTCCTGCTGCTGTTCCTGGTCCAGGCGGCACGAGTTTCCTGCAAGGACCCCCTCCCTCATATCTTAATGAAGACACACCTCGCTTGCCGAAATTTGTTGTCTATCGGCCAACAGGGTAACACTGCCTTGCGTGGCCTCCCGATGAAGTTACGTTTCTTGCATTGGAATCCTCTGAGTTTGAACTCTCGTGAGCGACAGGAAGAGGTGATCTCGACCAGTGCCAAGTCGTTCCACCTGAGCTGCTTCGCGGGGACCCAAGTGCGTGCTCGTCCTGATTCGCCGCCGGAGAAGAGGATGGTACAGGGAGTTCTCTTGCTGGAGGCGGGCTACGGTAGAGGGGCCTACACTAACAAAAGTACTGGAGTCTCCATCACTTTGAGATGTGGACTTCGGGAGCGACACATTGTCCGACATTGGTTGCCTTCTGCCAGTCTTGCTGGCCGTGGGCTGGGTGTTCGCGTGAAGAGGTCTGGCTTGGACGTCGCGGTCGTGGGCTGCTACTTCCCTCCGCGTCCTCGGGGACTTCAGGGTAGGCCGAACTACTTTCACACGGTGAATAAGTTAGTTGAGTGGCTTCGTTCTATCTGTGCTGACCTTGCCCAACACTCCAGAGTTTTTCCGATCATAAGTATCGACTTGAACGACGGGATTGGGAGGGTCTTCCGTGAGGGGGGCTGGGTCTACGCTAATACTCCTACGGTGTCTGAAGATTTGGCTTCCTGTGAACATCTTCCTGGGGGTGCTGGGGAACAAGTTCGGGGCCTTATGGAGGAATGCGGTCTTGTACTTCTGGGGCTTCGTAATAAGGTTGAACCCACATGGTACGGAAACGAGAATCAAAGTAGCAGGGTCGATTGCATCATAGGCACTGCAGCAGCTATAGATCTAGTTGTCTCGGGAGGGCCACTAAGGGGACTCATGAAGAAGCACCAACTCATCCCTTCCAGATATCCCAGGGATCATGTTCCGCTGCGCTGCAACTTCAGATGGGACTTCGTCCCGCCAGAAGAGAAATCGTCGGACAGGATTTTCTGGAACTTTGAGGCCATGAAGTTCTCGGAGGGGAGTGAGCTCTTCTTCTCTCTGTCGTCTGCGGCTCTGAGAGAGCGGCAGGCGGACCTCGATATGGCGATGAAGGAGGGCATGCCAGATAAGTACTTTGAGATGTTTAATGGCATCTTGCAGGAGCATGCTGGCTGTGTTTTCGGAGGCAGTCTTACGAGAGGACTGCCTGGCTACGGTGAGCAAGCTGCCGAGCGTCGCGCTCTGCTGCAGCGTCACCTGCTCCTGCGCCAGGCTATCTCGGCAACCAACACGGAGGAGGAGGAGGAGGCGATCAAGGATGAGTTATGCAGACTTAGTAAAGAATGTTCCCAACTACGGAGGAGGCAGCATCGGGGGTGGGGAAGGAGATCACGGATGAGTTGGATGAAGCTTGGAGAACTCGCAATTTGAAAGAGGCGCATCGGCTGATTAGGCTGCTCGCCTGTCGCGGCAAGGCTCCCAGAGGCAGGAATCTTCGGCATCTTCAGGGTGCTGATCTTAGTGCTGACGAATGGCTGTCTGCATGGCGGCTCCGAGGTCCTCTGGGAGGCATGGAGGTGGAGGAGGTGGCGGAGGAGCACGCGCAGGAGATGAGGACGACAGGTTCTAGTGGAGTATATTCGGCGGAGGCCAAGGTGGATATGATGTCTATTGCTAAATACCTACGACATGCGCCTAAGAGGCGAGCCTGCCCTCCCTGGTCTGTGCCGGCTGAAGTTTGGCGTATGATTACTGACCCTTTTTTTGGGCTACGCAGAGCGAAGCTTGGTGTAGGTGCCAGCCGCGATTTCCAGGCGGAGCTTCTTCAGGAGTCGCTCGAGAACGGATTAGTCTGTGTCAGGTTTGCTGGCAGGTTCCCCCGTCTCTGGAATCAAAGTTTCGGTCGCGCCCTCCCGAAGTCCTCAACGCCAGGCCCCAAAGGGAAACGTGTTATACATCTACTGGACCCTCTTGGAAAGGCGTGGTTGGCTGGGGCTATTCGACGAAACCGACCTCCTCCCCTGGGCCCGTGCGATTATGGCTTCTGCAGGGGAAGGAGGAAGGAGGGCGCAATGCTGGTGATTCAGATTATGCAACATCGACTCCGCCTCGCTTTTAGTTCTTCCTGGTCCAACAAGGACCTCAGCAATGCTTTCCTGTCTACCTCGCGGGCGCTGCTGGAGCAGGCCAACGACTTGCTGCTTGAGCGAGGTGATAGACATTTCGGACTTGACCGTTTTCGCAAAGCTACCATTCGGCTTCCGACGCGCGATAGGTCTCTTCTCGTGCAACCCAAGTGTGGAGCGCTCATGGGCGATCCGTATGCAGTGGAGTCTTTTGGCAGAGCTTATGAGTTTCCAGTTGATTCGTGGAGTGTGGAATTGAGAGAGGCCCTTGAAACTGAGGAGCTACTGTATGTAGAGCGCCCGATTGGTGGCATTGGCGAGGTCAATTTAGGCTTAACCAAGTACGCGGACGGCCTTACTAAACTACATGTGGCTGGAGGCCCAGAGGCTTCCTTGATAGATGCGGGTCTTTCTGAACGATGCGCTGCTAACGACCACTCTAACATGTCGTTGGACGGGGCCCTTGCTCGGGGAGGGTGGAGGCACAATCTCTCTCAGCAAACCAACATCGTCTCTCTCGTGGGCTCGGGCTCTGCTGCTGCCAATCGTTATCTTCGCTTGCGTAATCAAACTGTGTTCGCTGGTGGGGCTACTCCGTCTATGAGGGTGCTTGGAGGTCAAATTCATTGTCTGGGATCTATTGCTGTGGAAATCTCGAAGCGTTTGGGGGCTCTGCAGAGTTCTTGTCATGCTCTTGGGAAGATTTGGTCGACTCCTGGAGTTGCGTTCCGACTTCGAATATCGGTGCTCTTGGGGATTCAGAATGTTGGCATTCAGAACTTGGAGGCCTTCCTGGTGACCGAGGGTCAGTCTAAGCGTATCGATTCGACTTTCATCAAGTACTGTAGAGTAGCCATGCAGGGAGGAGCTAGCCGAGAATGACCTGATCATACCAGAACTATGACAAACGAAGATGTGCTTAGACATTGGCGGCTAGTTCCTTCCTTCTTGGGGTTACGGGTCAGACGTTTAAATTGGCTGGTGCAGTTTATTCGGTATCCTACCCTACAGCCCGAGCTAAGTGCAGAAAGCCGACATCATCTCGGATCACTCGAACAATACGAATAGTTTCGCGGACCTAGTCCGGGCAGCAGACCGAGTTCCGAGCACTGGATTCGACAGGCGGACGCGCTTCATGTCTCCAAATCGATTCCTGTGACTACCAGCACTGTAGCCTCCTAAGCGACACGCGCAAATTCTCACCGCTCTTTTTGCCGAGCTTCCAGTTGACGAACGTACGCAGTTCGACTACATGGGGTGGCTCACGGCTTATGCGAATCCTTGGGCGAGGCTTTTTTATTCAGACGTTGAGTCTATCTCTGAGATGGAGGACGGCGAAGACTTGCTCGCGCGTCTTCATGGATCTTTCTCGGTACTGTGGTGGGATAAGGAGCTCGGAAAAGCTTCCTGCAAGCTTGATGTTACTGCCTTGCGTCGCCGTCAACACACCGTCGCGATTCCTCCACCGGAGTTTGTATCCGTTCCTTCGGTTGATGTGGAAGGGGTTGTTACGGGGCAGGAGGGCGGGCTTAAGTGGGCATGTGGTTACTGTGTCGTTAATGGGATATCGGGGGAAGAGGTTCCTTGTGGAGAAGTTTTTCCTGATAAAAAGGCTGCCCTGAACCATCTCCGTTTTCATCACAACTACCGCTCTCTGGGACATGTGCTCTGTAAAACCAACCAGTGCCCGAACTGCATGGAGATTTTTTCCAGTCTTACTACTGCTAGCCGACATTTGGTAGGTGCTATGAATAGGGGATGCTGTTATTCTGGGGGAGGCCGAACACAGGAACCATTACACGAAGTGGGTGACCTAAGATGTTTATTATGTGATTATCACGCCTCAGATCTGGAGAATTACCAAATGCATGTCCGTATCAATTTTCCTCGAGCTCTTCGTATCTACGACCGATACCGCCATTGCTACATAGACGAGGATGGCGACGCTGGCGCGCCCAGGCTGGATGGCCAAGATAGGCGGCGCGGAGCCCCGGCTGAAGGCGGCCAAGGCAGCAGGCAAGGGCGCCAGCGTCGGCGCCGCCAGGCCGCAAGGAGCGGCCGCCAAGAAGCAGACGATCGACGAGTTGGTGGTGGTGCTGGCCAAGCTGGTGCTCAGCGACGAGGCGGAGCTCAGAGTGCTCATCGGCGCCGTCTACGACACCTGGCTGGCCCCGCTCACCTCGCACATGGTAGAACTGATGCTCGAGGAGAAGCAGGCCTTCAACGCCGAGGCCCAGGAAGCGCGCGAGAAGGAGAAGCAGGAAGACAAGAATGGCAACAAAGACTACGTCAAACAGAAGATGTCGGCCCCCTTCTTGCGCGTGTCCGCTGCGATGATTCAGGGCGCGGCGGAGAAGGAAGCGGAGGACATGGAGTTGGCCGCAGCTCGAGTTCCCGCACTGAAGTACTTCGAGGGGGCGATCTCGAAGCTCAAGGAGCCCGAGGAGATGTCGGATCTGATCAGGTTCTGCAGGGCGAAGCGCCTGAAAGGCAAGAACAAGGGCGGCGAGGAGCTAGTGAAGATGCAGTTCCTCATCTCCCACGAGCACGACCTGGCGAAGCCGATCACTACCACCATCAGAACCGCGCTGGCCGCCCAGGGGGGTCACAAAACAATTGGAGGCGCGCCGAGAGGAGTACTTGTACGCGAAGCGCAGAGGCTCTTGGACAGCGTCAAGTAGCGGCGCCTGCCTCGCATGCTTCAGGTGGTTTCAGTTGGGCTGGCAGTGAGCGTGTGTTGGCACACCTTCGAGCTGGTCATTTGAGTGAGGCCGCAGCAAGGCTTGTGCTCGGCCAGTCGGTCGCTGAATCTGTGGTGATTTCTCCCAACTTCATTCCTCCTCCCCCTCCTGGTCTTGAGCCTCCTTCCTCTTCGACTCCCACCCCAGTCACTTTTCAGAATGCCCCAGAAGTAGGGCCTGCTGTTGCGCTCCCGCGCCCCTCTAGCCGCCGCGGTGGGGGAGCGGGGAAGGGAAGGGGTAGGGGCGCCTCGAGAGGCAGGGCCTGAGTTAGGGGATGCCGTGGGGGCCCCTTGGCTCTTGTTCGGTTCCTCGAGGGGCCATGGCTCCTTCTCGGGTCGGTTGGGTGCCCTCTCTCAGGCAAGTCGTTTCCTCCCTGAGGGTGGTGCCGAAGGCGGCAGCCGCAGGCTGCGCGCCGAAGGGCGCGCCTTCGGACTGTGCCAGCCCGCACCCGCGGCGCTGGCCCGCACACAGGCGCGTTGCATGGCCTGGCAGACGCCAGCACCTAGGCGCCCTCGGCTTTCGAGTTCGACGGATCGTGAGGCGCCCCAGGGTTATTGCGATTGCTATTGCTGTTCCTGGTCCTCCTCCCTCTCTCTCTCTCTCTCTCTCTCTCTCTCTCTCTCTCTCTCTCTCTCTCTCTCTCTCTCTCTCTCTCTCTCTCTCTCTCTCTTCTCTCTCTCTCTCTCTCTCTCTCTCTCTCTCTCTCTCTCTCTCTCTCTCTCTCTCTCTCTCTCTCTCTCTCTCTCTCTCTCTCTCTCTCTCTCTCTCTCTCTCTCTCTCTCTCTCTCTCTCTCTCTCTCTCTCTCTCTCTCTCCGCCTCTTGCCTCCTCCTCTTTGGGCCCCATGTTGGGTTCTAGGTCGTCTTCTTGGGGCCATCTTCTTGAGGCCTGCGAAGCCTTCATCATCATTGGCAATGTTTGGGAGCCAGCGCCCCTGTTTCTCGAGGGCAATGTCGCAGCGCTAACAGCATGGGCCACATCGGCGACGCCGTCGTGGCGGCTCTTTGTTTCTGCCATCGGTAGCTGCATCGGCTGCGCGACGGCGAACTAAGGATTCATCAGTAGCTGCTTCGGCTCGAACCAATCATATATAGTACGTGTCTTCCCGCGCGTGTCTTCTCGTCTTCGCCTGCTGCCCATCCCCAGAGTCGCCGTCATGGGGAAGAAGACAGCACAGGCTGGCACGACGACGAATCGCCAGCAGCCGAGGCAGCCGCGGCGCCCGAAAGTCCTGAAGCTGGGGTCCGATTTCTCAGGCTTGGAGACGGCGTCCGTGGCCATGGGGCGCATGGGTATCAATCATTCTCTCGAGTTCGTCAGCGAGTCGGATTCGGCGTGCATGTCGATCATCAAAATGAAGTACCAGCCGGCGCACACGTTCTCTGGCATATTGGAGCGCACGGAGGAGGAAGAGACATACGTCGACGTGTACGCGTGGACCCCGCCTTGCCAAGACTTCGCTTCGGGCGGCAAACAGAAGGGAGTCAAGGGCCCGCGCAAGACAGGGGATCTGATCAAAAAGCCCATGCAGTACATCAAGAGGAATAAGCCCCGCGTGACCATCTTCGAGAACGTCCCGACCTTCACAAACAAGAAGTTTATCCGCATCCTGAAGGGCATTGAAGAAGCGCAGAAGACGCTTGGATACGTCGTACACGTGAATAAGCTGAACAGCAAGGACTCCAGAGTTCCCCAGACGAGGGAGCGCGTCTTCGTTGTCGGCGTGCGGCAAGACAGCGTGATGCATCCGTTCACGTGGCCACAGAAGCAGGCGACGCCTCCAGTGACTTCCATCCTGGAGCCCAAGCGCGCCACCACCGACGTGGCAGGTCGGCTCCCCAGCAGCGAGCGCAGCCGGGGCATGTGCAAGGATGCTTACAGGAAAGCATACGAGAAGAAGGTGGACCCGCGCCTGACCCCAGTGTTGGTCGACATCGACTGTTCCAAGAAGTTCGCCACGCACGGGATCAACATCGCCAGGGCGCTCGCCAAAACCCGTGGCCAGGACGGGGGTCCGTGGGTCTCCAGCCGCGGGCGGCGGGCGACGCTGCATGAGATGATGCGGCTTCAAGGTTTCGCCAAGGGGGACACTCCGCAGGCTGAGCTCGACTTGTCCGACCGCCAGATCGGCGGCATGATTGGCAACGCGGTCAGTGTGCATACCATGGGCGCCATTTTGTTTGAGGCGCTCTACAGCGCTGGGCTCACGAAGACGAAAGGTTCCATTCCCCTTGCACAATGAGTGGTGAGGGCAACTTGATTGCACTACGAACAGATTTCTCATATCGGCCCAGGCTGTTCCGGCCCGTCGGCTGCAGTTCTGCCAGTCTTAAGTTTGCGAGCGGAGTTCCATGCGCCCAACCAAGGAAAAATCTGCAACACGATCATAGGCTTCCCGTTAACAGCAGGCCGCATCATGTCCTTGATGCGGTTCGTTGATGCGTAGACTCGCCACGCATGGCATATCTTCGTTGATGGACCGGCTCGCCGTCCATGACATTTATCTGATTATTGTTGCGCTCCTGAGCCCGTCTATCGTAAACAGTTTTGCTCAAGTTCCATGTGCCCGCCTGGGCGACTAGTATTGCTACCGCCCGCCACCCCGATGTAGCTATGGTGGAGAAGAAGCAAAGCAGCAAGTCATCCGACAGATTCGCCGCGGCGACTCTTTGGAAAAGACTCTACCCTAAGTGGTCTAAGCGATTCCTGGTGGACCCGAGCCGCCCTCTGTTGGGTTCATGGTTGAGTAGCAAGTGGAAGGACGGGCAAGGAGTTGGTTGCGCATGCTGCCATTGGGCAGGCGTTAACAGCCCGTTCAGCAATTTTCAAGTAATGTCTGTCGCTGCGCTCCAGGCTGTCAACTTCGACAAACACAGTCGGAACCCTAATCACAAAGCAGCTGCTGCGGCTTATGCGCGGATGAGGGATCAGCACGAGTTGGCTGCATCGGCCTCTTCTGCTGAGCCAGGCGAGCTTCAATGCCCCAGCGAGTCTGATTTCCTGGACGTCGCCAAGCTCGTAACCAAGGGGCGCGGCCCACTGACAACAAAGAACCGTAGAATGTTGCGGTGCATCCAGAGTGCCCCGAAGCAGCGCGACATCAACATCATCAAATCAAGTGCAGCAATCTCTTTATTTCGAGACGAGCGGAAGGGGCGGCTACTCATCCGATTTAGATGCGTCGGGGACGACCTGTCAGAGTTTTCAGGGACATTGGGGCAGGCTCGTGGCTTTGGGACAGGGGCCGCGGCAATCACCAACGCAACAGAGCAAATTATGGTCAGAGCGTGCACTGAGCTGCACGGCCCCCCGCCGGGAGCGAATTGCACCCCCGCTTTCAGGCGGGGGGTTCTGGAACATCTGAAAGCACGGGCGTTGTGTCTCACGGTTGATTCTGCAAGCGATGAGCTTCTCAGCGCCGAGATGATGCGATGGACTGCTTTGAGCGCCGCTGCCCAAGTCTTGACCCCAGGGCCCCGCTTCGTCATCAGAGACAAAGCGCATTCAGCCAGGAGGGTCGTGAGCAGGCCGTGGGCCGCTGACCCTTACATCAAGGAGACAGCCATGATCTTCGCTCGCGGCCGAGGCCCCATAGCACGCATGATTCAGAACAGCCCACACATCCGACAAGTGTTCGCGAACTACACGAAGATGTGCCGGAACAAGGCCATAAACGCCAGCGTTTCGAACCTACGGGCAGCCGCCCACCGATTTGAATCATTTCAAGAACCTCTTGGTCGCACCTGCATCTTTCTGCGCGCTTGCATCCGGACGGCATTGCACATTTCTCGTCGACAGAACGACGATATGGCAAAGATGGCAAAAGCGTGGCTCAAGTCTGTCAACACAGAGCGGTGCTCGATGTTGGCGATGATGGCCGACGCAAGTGACCAGGCAATGCAACTCACTCGGTTTTAGATGACGAGTCGGCCGATCCAGCCATTCTCAATCGCGAGGTGTTGGCGTTCAACTTGTCTGTCACTGGCTTATTTGGCAGTTCGCGCGGATGTTTGTCTGTGTTTGGCTACGCGACCATCATGCTGAAGTTGCTGAAGATTCCGGTTGTGTGGCAAGTTGATGGGGCGAGTTATCACATCGGGGACTTGGCCGGTGTCTCGGCGGATATCATAGACAAGTGCATCGCCTGGATGCGTTCTTACATCATTCTGGCGCGAGCGGCTCTGAAGGCCGAGTTCCCAACTTTCGAACTGTCCCAGGACAACTGGGCGATCAACGCTTCGTGAAAGTTCACCCGCCCCTCCCCGCTTGTCGCTGTTCGTCGATTCGACCATTGAAACAGGGTGCCCCCATCGTCGTCCACCCTTCCCCACGCTCGACGAGCGTGGGGAAGGGGAAGTAAGTTTTTGTATCCCCCCAGGCTTGGCGCGCGTTCGATTTGACGTGCCCCCCCAACAAGCCTGAGGAGGATTAGCAAAGGATTGCACAGTCACTTGATTCGCAGACTTTGTCGTTATCACCGCCGCCCCTCGCACGAACGGCCCTGCCCCTGGCGCGCGTGCCCATCTGGGATCGGAATCAATGGGTCAACGGTTCCATCTGCTTCTCGCCGCGGGCCCCGTCCAGGGGGGGGGGGGCGGATCTTGATCCCTTAAGGCTTATTGCCCAATGGCACGACCACTACCCTCGCGCGCGCCAGTTGTTTAGCCCGTCATCATCTAACAACAAGGATGCGTGGCGCTCTGCGTTGAGCAGAACAGGCGCTCGCCACCTCACGACCAGCCACCCGTCCGACGTGCTGGGCCGTGTTCTTGTCGCCTTCATCGCTCATGGCTTGAGCTCGTCTGGAGTGGAACAGAAATTCAGTCAAGCTGCGCTGAAGTTCACTGACCGCATGGGCAAAGCCACGGCGGATCACGAGGAAGGGCCCCTCAAGGTGGCTATGGATTTCCCTGAGTCCGACCAGCCAGAGATCATCAGGATGGCACAGCGAGTGCGGCGCATGTCGTTCGGCCCGCCCAGGGCGTCGCCCCTGCCCCCTCGGATCGACGCGGGCGTGAGGCGCAGCGCGGGCCCCGCTGATTTCACGGAGGCGGGCTTCATCGCGAAGCGGCGGAGGGCCGCCCGGAGCGCAGCCTCGTCTGTGCTGGGCGCCGAGAGGGCGCTGGCAATCCAGAACGATCTAGTCGGCTTCCGAGCAGGCGCTGCATGGGGGGGGCCCACGAGAAGGAGCTGTCATTTCTCAACAACAAGTTGCGGAACAAGTCCTT